GGTGGGGATGTAAATTGCTACAATCACTGAAGAAAACAGTATGGAAGTGCCAAAAATAGCATTACCATAGGATCCAATAATTACAGTACTTGGTACTTACTCAAAGAAAACAAAACTACTAACTTAAAAATATATATGCACTCATGTCTACGACATATGTTTATTGTAGCATTATTACAATAGCCAATGTATGGAAGCAACCTAACTGTACACCCATAGATGAATGGATAAAGAAGATGTGTACACATATACAATGGAATGCTACTCAGCTATAAAAAGGAATGAGACCTTACCATAGGTGGACCTAGAGTATATTACGCTAACTGAAATAAGTCAGAGAAAATCAAATACCATATGATTTTACATATATGAAGAATCTCAAAAGGAGTTTCCACCATTTATTAATTCCTACTGTGGTAATTTCATACAAAGAAATACACTGGGGGAATAGATGTGACTTGAATGTCCCATGCAAGAGAACATAAGCAGAAAAGCAGGTCATAACTTAAAACTTTCTGCCTCACACAGCATTTGCTTTTTCTAAAATCTGAGTATTTTTCCTCCTCCAAGGAATATATTAAGTCTTAAAACCCAAATCCTTAGGTGGTAATGTATAAATGTCTTTTAATAGTTGCCTTCACATAATGGGAAAAAAAAATGTTGATCATTCTTTAATAATTTTCAAAAGTCCCTTGTTCTACTGAAACTTCCCCAAAACCCTCACTCAGAAGTTCTCTGGGGACTTCAAGCTTCTTCCAGAAATGTCTTTATATCTGTATTGTTTACCTCACCTCTTTATATTTTGTTTAATTAATTCTTGTTTGATTTTTTTCTTGCTTTTCAACTAAAAATCTTCTAGGCAGCTGTCCGTATATGGGTCAATCATTTTGTTTAGTCTCTACACATAATGATCATTTGTCAAAATAATAAGCCTAAAATTTCAAGGAATTAATAGAAAGGAGTCAAATTTAAAAATTTCAATTGATGATATATGTTCACCATTAGATTTCATTAGGGAAGTCAAAAACTGTCTCTACTTATCAGTTATCATCTTGCAGATTTTCAATCTGATGAAAGTGAGTAGTAAATTTCATTTCAAAGCTTATATTTAGTAGATATTACTCCTGTGAAGTTGTATGTGTTTTAGAATTATTCTAGCCTATACATTTAGAAAATTAACATCATACTATAAAGGTATCCTCCAGAAAAAAATATTTCATTCATTCTTTATATATATTTGTTATGAATAATTTATAGATTGATTTTAAAACTGATTTCTTCTTATAGTCTAGACTTAAAAAAATTATCTAAGATTTAAAATTAACTGATGAAGCTTAGTGATCTAAATTAACCTATAATCCTTCCATTATCATACAACTGTGTTCATGTTGTTCATATGTGTATTTGTGCATGCACAGGCAAATGTTCTTTATTTCCTATTTTAATATTGACTTTAATGTTGTTTTAAACATTCCCCTTTCCTTAAATAATCCCGGAAGTGTTTAACTGGACTAATATGACCCTCTCACTGAGTTCCAGTGAACAAGATATTATCCAGTAACTCAGCATTCCGGGGTAACTCTGGTCTACTGATATTTTCCACTATAAATAGGAAATCGAGATTTAGCCCTCAGGGAAACCATTATCAAGTCCCTTCCATCTTAAGTTTCTTAAGAACACTCAGAAGTAAAACTCATTAGAAAGAAATTAAAATACAATAGAATCATCAGAAAGCCATTTAAAATCTGTCTTGCTTTCCTTTCGTCTGTACATTTTTCACACACCTGTTAAGCCATTTTAATGTCATAATCAGAGCACTGATGATAAATGCTTGATACCAAAACATTTGTAAAGTCTATTTTTTAAACTTGATATCAAGATGGAAACCATTTAGGAATAATGTGAATAATGTATCTCATCTATTGTTCAAATGTCTCAAAAAATAAAGGAAGGAATAGATGAATGAATGAACAAGGGAATTAAAAGAATAGAGATTAGGAAAATCTAGAGTGATTATTTTGGGATTTAAACTAAACCATAATTAGTGAGACTGATCAAGGAAAATGTATTATTAATTAGTCATGGTTTAAGAGTCCTAATTAACTGTATTCAAGAAAATGGAAATGAAAAGGTAGAAATAGAAATGTGATGGAGGAACTGTAGAAAATAAAGTGGTTGTATAACAAGACAGAGAATCAGAAGAAAAAAAAATACAGTATTTTATAGAGTCCTTATACTTTGAAGGCTATAGCGAAACCTGTTCCAGCCTATTTCTGTTAAACTTTATGTTACTTGAAGATTATCCTAAATAAATTTTTCATTCTAGATTAACTCTTCCTTGCAGGAAGTCAATTTCTAGCTAGTCTTCTTCTTCACCCCCTCTGATGTCATTTGGTGGATAGATAAATTT